CATTTCTTCCTTATTTTCATCATTTTTTTGTTCCCTTTCCCCACCTCTTCCCCAGTTGTAAATGTCATTTCTGATCTGAATATTTTTCCTACTCTTGCACTTTTGCTTATGGTTTCTGGCAAAAAGAAAAATGTAAAATTTTAAGTCATACGTGTTTTTTCTCATTGATACTTCTATCATTTTATAATGGAAAATTCGTAGCCCATCCATAGACAAGTTGCATTGCCCTTTTAACTCTTAGTGCTTTCATATTTCACTTTGAGCTCTTTAGGCCACTTGGAATTTTTTTGGCATGATGAGAAGTTGAGGTTCTAAATTGCCTTAAAAAATAAGTCAAACACGGACAACAGAAAAATGGGTGAAGGGAGATGTCGGACAGGGCAAGATATGACAAAATAATAATTTATAAATTATCAAGGGCTCACGAGGGAGGGGGGAGCGTGGAGGGAGGGGAAAAATGAGGACCTAATGCCGGGGGCTTAAGTGGAGAGGAAATGTTTTGAGAATGATGAGAGCAATAAATTTACAAATGTGCTTTACACAATTGATGTATGTATGGATTGTGATAAGAGTTGTATGAGCCCCTAATAAAATGATTAGAAAAAAAATAAGTCAAAACAGTTTTTATTAGTTCACCCCTCCCTTCCTCTATGGCATGAGGACATTATGGTGTCCAAAGGATTCATAGCCAAAAAACAGGGAAAACAAAGGAAAGTCATCACAGAATCATGGTTGGCGGCAGATCAGATCTTCACAGTTCTGTTCAGGCTCGACTGCAGAATTGGTCATGTAACCATGATTGGGATCCATACATGTTGCTGATGAGAAAAACTTAAACCGTTGGTTTAGACTCTCTGACCACCTGGGTTGCAATATGACTCATGACCCCAATCTCTGTCAAGGGCAAACCTAGGAAAGTTCCTGGGGGTGAAATGGCCCTTCCCAAGCCCAGAAATTACAGCAAAGCAAAGCTTTTACATTACACTCTGTGGTCAAAAGAACTCAATGGGGGATGAATCTATATGGAAACCCAAAAGGTATTTAGGTTCCCAAAAACCTAGGGCTTAGAATTTAAGTTCTAGTACATTCTCACGATTCAGGTTACCTGAAAGTTTGTTACCAGTGAAAGGACTATCATAAACAAATTAATTATGGAGTTGTGGTGTTGTTGTGGGGCGCTGAGTCAGTTCCCACTAATAGCAACCCTGTGTACAATTGAGCTCTCTGAAGAACATTTCCAAAATGGATGAGACTAAGTCTCACCATCTTAGCTTCTAATGAACAGTCAGGCTATACTTCTTCCAAAACAGATTTATTTGTTCTTTTGGCAGTCCATGGTACTTGGAGTTTTCTTCAGCAACACCGTAATTCAATCCCATCATTTTTTCTTAGGTCTTCCATGTTAGTTGTTCAATTTTCACATGTGTTGTGAAATACCATGGCTTGGGTCAGGCGCACCTTATCCCTCAAAAGAGACAGCCTCTCTCTTTTGCACTGTCAGAGGTCTTATGCAGCAGATTTGCCTAAAGCAATGCATCGTTTGATTTCTTCACTGCTACTTATGTGAAAATTGTTTGTAAAATGAAATCCTTGATAAATTTAAACTTTTGATCTTTTATCAAGATGTACCTTATTACAAGTAATGCTATAGCAAAGAATAATTTATTATATATATATTTTTAATTATAAGGATGCCATTGTACAACACTTTAATAGGGATCATTTTATTTAATACAAATAAAGAGATAAGCAACTTCCAAAATTAGGAGTATATTTATCTTTCTTTTAATATTCCTTAAAACTAATAGCATTAATAATATTTTATAATGTGATTTACCCAAACTGTATATTTACAATAAAACTTGTCGAAATTTGAAATGCTTACCAATAATATATATTTTTAAATTTTAGGACATAAGAAAAAATCAACATAGTCCTCTTTTTAAATCATAGGAACTAAAATGCTGAATTTCAATTAGTTGCTATTTGTTAACATTGTTGGGACAAGGTACTTAATAATTACTACTTTTTTAATCCTCTAATTTTTCTGTGAATTTCCATTTTTATTCTCAAATATTGTTTTTTATCATAATTCTGCTTTGACTTAGTCTTTATTTAACCAATCATGTGACCTTTTAAAAATATCATTAACTGAACATTAATTGAACAAATCAAGTCAACTTTTTTAAAATGTTACTGCTTTTTAGCAGTGTTTTCCCAGATAGTAGCCTATTTTGTTTTAAGAAGTATTTTGACTGCAAAATCCTCATACTTTATAATAGAATCTTAGAAATTGGTCCTTGGAGTTTGTCATAGTATATTTTTACATGTTTACTCAATAGCACTTGAGTTCTGTGTGTAATCAAAGAACTGAGCAAACCCTGGCCATATTTTGAAAAAGGTTGCCTTAGTGATAATCCTGCAGCTGCGAATTTATTGACGTTCTCTACTGCTAAATCCAGGTAGATTGACTAGGAAAAACTAAGCACACAAATTACTTTATTCTTTTAAGCATGCCATCTCTCCATTCCTTTCTGTTTCATTTGTCCTCTGATTCGTTCAGTTATTCAGTACATATATGGCAATCTTCTCTGTGCCGGGTCATGTGGTATAAACTCTAAATAGGCAGTGATAAACAAAATAGGAGTCTTTTTCTCATAGGCCTTACTATACAATTTTTAAGCATACATGAAAATTTCAGAATTTGATTCTTTTTATTCTAACTTACACATTATATTTATTGTTATGAAATATTTCAAATACTGAGAACTATTCCAAAAAATAATATAAGCAATTACCCATGTATTATACCTACCATCTAGGTTTAATAGGCTTTATCTTTTTTGCCATGTTTGAGGTAACCTAGGTTAACTCAGAGTTGGTATATATGTTGGTTATATTTCCATGCAGGATTTGTTTTGTATTTGTATTGCATATGTATAGATTCATAAAGAATATGGTACTGTTTTATATATTATTATATTCTCATAAATTATTTTATGTGGTAAATACCCTTTCCTAGCTTGTTGTTTGTGCTCAACATTGCTTTGGAATTTGCCCATGATACCTGTGGTTGTACCTCATTTCATTCAAGTGTTATATAGTGCTCCGCTTTGTCAATAGACCATATTTTAGATCTCCATTCCTTTGCTCTGTTGGAAAATTAATTAGATAGTTTCCAGTTTGGTTCGTATTATGAACAGTAGTATTTTACTGAACATCATTACATGTGCTGTCATATATATATCCCTGATTCTGTGAGATGTATACCTAGTAGGCCACAGGGTATGCACATCTTCCCTTTTACTAGTTATTTTACCAAAGTGATCAAAATGAAGGAGCCCTTGTGGTGCTGTTGGTTAAATATTGGGCTGCAAATCACAAGGTCAGTGGTTCAAACCCACCAGCTGTTCTGCTGGAGAAAAAATGATACCATCTGCTCCCCTTAAGATTTGTATAGCCTCAGAAACCCTATATAGCAGTGCTGTGAGTTGTAATCAACTAGATGGTAATAGTTGGGTCCAAGATAGCTAAGCCACGAACCTGTGTTAAGTAAGGGGTGATTTTAACTCCATTTGCTAGACTGCTGAATTTCTTAGCTTATCTGCTGTTTGATTTTGCTATGCAGTAATTAAAGTGTCTGCATTTTTATCTAAGCAGTGATAGATAGTAAATGATATTATTTTTATTAGACTTTTATTAATTAGAATTTCATCTGCTATAAAGACTGAGACATAAATGATAACATTGACAAATTTTACAAGTTTTAGAATGACAAATGAACATATGTTTCTGACTTTTTAGGTTGATTCCCAAGTCATTTATCTTACTTTAAACACAATCAATCACACTTTAAATTAGTAGGTACTTGATTTTAATAACTACTTTAGTGGTTTGAGAAACTATTTCTTTTCATTAATTATTTTGTTGCTAAAGCCATGTAATTTCACTCAACTTCAAAGTCTGTGTTAAGAGCATTAGGCTAACAATTTCGTTTTAAATGATTTGATGTGCATATTTCACATATAGTGATAAATGTAAGCTTTTTTCCCCTTGAAATAGTTTACAATTAATCAAATGAAACATTGCGAGTAAGAAGGGAGCTTTGAGAAGATCTGAGTTTTCTGAAGGCTAAAGCTTTGTTTTAGAATGTTTTAGTTCTTCAGTGAGTTTTTTGAAGTGCGTGTTAGCATTCTTTTTCCATATGTTCACCTCAAGTGCTTTAAGAAGTGGACTGAACTTTAGCTGCAGCAGATGTGTCATGCAGGGAGTATCCTGGTTTAAATTCTGAAGTGCTCTCACTCCTGCTCGCGTCCCCTTGAAATCGGCTGAAAAGAACTTGGCACATTATTTTGCGGATGTTACTCGACATCAAGAAATACATGACTGGGTCTAAGCAGCTATTGAATGAGGAGAGAACTAGCATGATCTCATTGGTTTTGTGAGCGATTTCCTTCCAGTAGCAAGATGACTTATTTAACTGTGAAGAAATATAGATAAATCGAAAAGCGTGATAGGGAACAAAACATATAGTAAAAATGATAAGTACAATAAAAGAATTTCGGGCCGTAGTAGTATATTTACCAGAGTTAGGAAATTTTGATCTCCTTTTAGAAATCCTCAATAGATTCTTGCCTATTTTAATATACGAAAGGATGATTAGTAAGAATATTAGCCAGAACATTACCACAAGAATGAAGTTAAAAATTGCTTCCCCTTTTGCATTTTGCTTATCTCTGTAATGGAAACACATTGTGGAATTGTGCTCTTCTTTCTTCACCGTTAAAATAATCATAGCTAAAAATCCTGCCAGAGCAATTGTCCATACTGTGCAGCAAACGTAAATACTTTGTTTGGTTGTTATTGCCCTTCGTTGTTGTATAGACCGGTTAATTTTTATGTAGCGATCCAAGCTGATGAATCCCAGCAAAATAATGCTGATGTACATGTTCATGTAAAATAGTGTTCCAACAACCTTACAAAGAACCAGGCCCATGGTCCACTTGTTTTGGTTAATGTGGTACATTATTCGGAAAGGGAGGCAGAAGATGAGCAGGAGGTCGGCAACTGCCACATTCAGCAGGTAAATTTGAATCGAATTTCTTTTCCGGTGGATACCTAGAAATACATAGAGGGCAATTATGTTCCCAGCCAGTCCCACAATGAAAATAACAGAGTAGAACGTCGTTAACATGTTAGAGACTAGTTCTTCATCCATGGAGCAGTTAGCGGTAACATTTGATGATTTTGAGAAGTTTTGCGGTGATTGGTCACTGTGATTAGTTATCAAGCGTATGCCCCTGGAGGAGAAAGGCCAGCTGCTGGCTGAAGTTGTCATCATTGTTGCAGTGTGTCTTCTTGTTGTCTTCTGTGAAGATCAAATGGTGAAGCTGCTAACTGACATGTTCCTTGTGGGTAGATTCAGATGTTTCCTATGTATAATAGAATGCCAAACATTGAGTCATTTCCTATTTTAATAGCAGTTACTTGAAATCAAAGAACAAGTAGCAAATGATTTCAGACGTTAGAGAAACTTTATTTTTACCTTTTTTTTTAATTAGTTGGATATCTACACTCTTTGTGGGAGAAAGATGAGGTTTTCACCCCCATAAAGATTCACAGTCTCTGAAACCCACAGGGGCAATTCTACTGTCCTATCGGGTCACCATGAGTAGGAGTTGATGGGTGGGAGGGGAAGTGACAGTACTGTGTATAGTAGCATTACCGTATCATCAAACACAAGTAGGATCTTATAGAATGTACTGCTCTATCTAACCTTTCCTGTGACTATGGTATACATTCAAGGTTGGTTACCTTTATTAAATTAAAATAAATAATTGAATTATAAGATTATATTTTCATGAAGGTTATTGAGGGACTAGAGATGGAAGGGAAGGAAAGTTTACAACTCATAACTTTTCAAAGATGAGCATCAGGTTTCCTAAAGGTGGCAGTCATCTTGAAGAGCAGGCCTGCTGATGGCCCTGCCCGGGCTCTTGGCCCTTGCCCTCATCTGAAGCATGTATTCGTCTTGACACACGGGAATCACAAACTGTGGGAACCTCTCATTGCATGGTGAAAATGGAGGTGACGGTCCTCGATTGCTTCTCTTGTACACCTAAGATCAAGTTGGAGGTATTAAAATAATTTGCCTGTGGGGGCACACAATTAACAGGCCAGAGGAAGAAAGGACATCTGCCTAGAACATTCTAAGAGCTAATGTATGGATCCACTTATTGTTTGTGGCAGCAGCGGCTGCCTGGGAGAGATCAAGCTGAAAGCCAACTGTACAAAGTTAGATGAAATAAGGTGCAAATCGCAGGACATTTCATCACAGTCTGCCCTAAGAATGACTGTACGGTAGCTCAACAACAGCCTCTAAGCTAGTTTTCAAACTCAGACTTATCTGACTCTGTGGCCTTGGCCAAATAATTTAATCTTTTCTCAGACCCAACCTGTGTCGTGGTAAAAATGAAAACTGCATTTGAAGAATGTAACCCTGGTGCATCTAGAAAGAAGTGCTCAATAAAAGTTAGTTTTAAAGAAGACCTTTAGATTAAGCTTTTCGCAAATATTCCATCCCTGGCTGAGTACGGCTTAGAAAAAAAGCAAGCGGGACTAAGACAGAGACCTTGGGGGGAGGGGGGGCGCTGCTTTTAGTGGTGAAGTTACAAACCCTGAATGCTCACATGTCAAATAGATTTGAATCATAACGATTTCCTGATTGGGATATATGGAAGAACCCAGCCTTTCTTAGAACTCTACCCATGACAGCATCAAGATGTCGCTCTCTTTAGTGGAAGGGAAAATGTAGGTTGAAATTGATTCCAAAAAAGAGGAACTGGTTGGTGAAGAGGAAGTCTTGTCATCCCTGGTAAGAGTCTATTATTCTAGAGTTGGGGGTGAGGGGGCTGTCAGTGGTAGGAGGGAGAACTGAGTCTGAGTCCTGTCTGTTGTGTATCTCAACAGCAGAAGACAGACTTCACAAAGTTTGTAGAAATTCATAAGCATATTTCTCAGTCATGAGTTGAGTCTTAAAAGGAAAGGCGATTTCAGCATTTCCTGTAAGAGGAAAGGGGGAGGGGGTCCTCTAGCAAGGACCTGGGTTTTGTGGCTACCTGGGGAGCTCGCAGAGAGCACAACGTCTGCTCAGG